TGCAAGGATGTTTAAGGAAGCATTGTTTATAATTGCAAAAATAATTAGAAATAACCAGCATTTCATAATAGAAGGCTAGAAAAATAAATTATGGAATAACTATTAAAAATTGGAAAACAAAGTACATCTGTGGTAAATTTATATGTACACACAAAAATATATATATAATAAATATAAATATGTACATACACTATGTGTATATATATATATACATATACTTTTACACACAAGTACATACACATATGTCCTTGTTTATACATTTATAAATATTTGTATGTTTGCGGAATATTTCCTGTGGGATACACAGGAAGTCATTCACAGTGTTTACCTTTGGAAGCAGGGTTTAGAGTAGAGCAGAGGGTGGAGAGTGTGTGAAAAGGGAGAAACAGATGTACTTTTCACTTTTTATTTCTCTAGTGTTTGATTATATTTTATGCCATTAGCATATGCTATTTCTAAAATGAAAGCAAATCAAAAGGAAATGAAAATAAAACAATTACTAGGAAAATAGAGTAAAAATATTATAAGAGTTTAAATTCTCACTGTCAATCTTTCTGAAAGCAGACATGACCCTGCTGTTGTAAGGAAGCGGGGAAATTATTTCAGTAATTTCAGAGGGATCTTACATTTAAAGCAAACAAGAGGGTAAACTCAATCTCCATAGCCGAAAGGGGAATCTGTGAGTTGTTTGCTTAAAAAGAAAAAAAATAAGCAAAATAATCTGCTACTCTACTCCCATCATGCACAGTGTAATTTCCCTGTCAGAGAAAGAGGAGGCCTGGAGAACAGAGTCAAGGCCGCAGTCCAGGAGCCTGCTATCAGCCATGCATGTGCTTATATAGTAAAGAGCTTAGGGACATACAGCCTGCTAAGGCTTTGCCCTAGTGAGTGAATGCCTCACTGTAACGTTTCCCACTATATGTAGCTAATTTTTGTTTTTTAAAAAAGTACAAATTATATTGGAAAAACAGAATATTCAACACATTTCAAAATCTATGAAATATCAGCCATGCATATTTGCTTAGCTAACAATATGGGTAAACACGTATGGAGTGTGCAGTCTGTGCCAGGTACCATTCCAAGCTCATTTTCTGTATTAATTCATCATATCTTTAGACAATTCTCAAAGAGAGGTACTATTACATATCTTGATTATTCAGATAAGAAAATCTAGGCTAGGAGAAGTTATATAACTTGTTTGCCAATAAAATTTTTCTTTACCTACTCTAAAATATAATCCAATTTTACTAGACTGTATTAAAAGTATGTGATACAAAAGTAAAATAACTTCTCAAGATAAAAATTACTAAAATGCATTTTTTCTAAGATTGAATATATGATGAAGATCAAAGTATACAATAATTCTGACATGCTTGGCCCAATAATTAAAGTTAATGTTTAACTTTTGCCATTATAAGCTATGCACCTGTTTACATATATCAAAGTCTCTCCTATACAGCTGAAAATATAAAGTAGAATCATTAAAATACTAATATTCTCTCAATTATCTCAACCCTATTTAGCTATCAGTTCTGAATTAACAGTAGTCTAATCTTTAACATAATGTTTTAAAAATGGATTCTACTTTTTAACAAATATTTTAGCAGATTACATTATAAATGGGAAACCACAGTCTAGTAAAGTGACAACCTTCAACCACAAAGTAACTCATTAGAATTATCCTACCTAGAATCAGAAGTTATTGAATTTTCCCCTTGTGGTCAAACCACAAACCATGAAAAATATGGTGTGTACCATCTGAAATACACTGAATTTCACTGGTACTTTAAATAGTTTTCCTAAACCATTAGCCACACAGAGAGCTAATTAGTTTACTAAATATGTACCAGCCATAATCATATTTACTTAAAACTTGAAGAGATATATGTTGGGTAAAATTTTATATGCCGTCCTAACTCTCCCCCAAAGCAAAAAATCCATCTAAACCCATGTTTGAAAATTAGTCGTTTTCCCTTGTTTGAATATATTTTAGCAATTGGATGTCCTCTACTTTTAGAAACAGCTTCTTCAACTTTGACAGTTTTATTGGCTATAAATGCTAACACAAATCAAATTTGCTTCCCTAATTTTTGACCCATTTGCTCTGGTTCTTAGAAATGTATTTTGTATTTTAGACAGCCATCACTTTTCCCTAAATCCTTTCCTGGTTACTTATCTGCAGCTGCCTTAAAGTTTCTCATAGAACTATTTTCTGGCTTCCCATTGGCTGATTAATGTTCTCGCTGAAACATGATTCATGAAAACGTTTAAGGGTCTCAACATAACCTAAACGTCATAGATCACAATGTAACCATAGCTGTCTCCATACTCTTATTAATGTAACTCAGGCCTGTGTTATTTTTGTAGTTAACTATAGTTGTTTTACGTTTTTCAGCAATCCAGTTACACATGTGATTGCTGAATTTGTGTTAAATTAAAATTTCAAATTGTTTACATTAACCCGCATCAGATTATGTCTCTTCCATTCTAGTTTTCAATCTGTCATAGTAAGGTTTCTCTATATTGGTTCTACTTGTATTCTCGATGCAGGCAGCTCACTCTTTTAGCTACGTTTTCAGGTCTGTATCAGCTCCTACCTGATAAGACAGTTTCCTGTGTTTTCATTCAAATCACTCATGAAAAAAACGGAAAAGGTCAAGGATATGGGCAAAGACCTTCAGCACACTACTGGGGATCTCATCCAGGCAGATAAATAACAACATGCAGAGGACACAAATCTTAAACTCCTAAAGAATTTTGTAATAACATAATCTAGCAAAGGCTATTTTAATTTCAGCAAATATTTAAGTTTTATGTTAAATGGTTTAAATTTATTTTCACATTTTTATTTATTTTTAAGATATATTTTTATTAATTTCAGGGAGAGGGAGATAGAAACATCAGTGATGAAAGAGAATCCTTGATTAGGTGCCTTCTACACGCCCTGCACTGTGGATTGAGCACACAACCCAAGAATGTGCCCTGGCCGGGAATTGAACTGTGACCTCCTGGTTCATAGCTCAACGCTCAACCATGGAGCCCTGCTGCCTCGGCTATTCGTACTTTTTTAATTTTGGGGGAAATTTAGAGAACACTACAAACTTTCCATAATTAGAGCTGCTTAAAAAGCTATAAAACAAAAATTCTGCCCTAACCGGTTTGGCTCAGTGCATAGAGCTTCGGCCTGCAGACTGAAAGGTCCCAGGTTCAATTCCGGTCAAGGGCATGTACCTTGGTTGCAGGCACATCCCCAGTAGGGAGTGTGCAGGAGGCAGCTGGTTGATGTTTCTCTCTCATCGATGTTTCTAACTCTCTGTTCCTCTCTGTGAAAAATCAATAAAATGTATTTTTTAAAAATCTATGAGATAGGAATTATTATACCCATATGCAGATTTAGAACCAAAACTTATAATCAATAACTTGATTAAGGTTACCAAGATAGTGGCTGTGCCAGAATTCAAGCCCAGATGCAGGACTCCAATTCAGCACTGACAACTATATCATACCTATGAAAATATCCCTTCCTTGAGTCTGTCTGTCATTCTCTCATAATAATACCACCTCACTTTCTTTAACTATTGCTGTACAGTGGAAATCCCACATCCCTCTTATTCAACAAGAAAAATGAATATGCAAGTGCCCCAATACATCTGTTTACATAAACTTGTCCTCAGGCATACTCAGAAACTCACATGAAACTATTTCTACCACATGAAAGATTTAACAATACCATTATGTAGAAATCATTATCAAAGGCAGCATTTCAGTTGTGCCATTAGTGACATTAATCCTGCTAAAGTGGATCCAATTCTCATATTAACTTCTTTATCAAGCAAACAGCATAAGACAATAGAGACAGAATTTGGGATTTTAGGCAAAAAAAAAGGAGAGTTCAAATCTCTACCGAACATTAACTAGTTGCTAACGGCCTCAATCTATACTCTATCCCAAAGTGATCTCTTCCAAAACAATGGCCCCATTTTCCAACGTCAAGTCAACAATTTGCTAATGTATTTCGATAGCAAGGGCCTCAGTTCTGAGATTTAGCCCTGTCTAGTCACTTCTCTCAAAGTTCCCACTGGAAATTGCACAGGAACTTCACAGTGAGCGTGCCATACCCCCACCACCCCCCATCACCTTTCTCCTAGTCTCCAGTGATCATTATCTTCATTCCACCTTCTTCAGGCTTCATAACCAATCACTACCCCCTATATTTCTACTTAAAAAAAAGGAAAAGAAAAAAGCCACCTGAAAGCTGACCAGTTCCCTTAGCTTCTTCTGCTGCCTCCCTGGTTCACAGAACGATGATCTTCTCTCCCCTGGACACACCTATATCTAATGCTACTGGATTTGCCCTCATGTCAACTATTTTTTAAAATATATTTTTATTGATTTCAGAGAGGAAGAGAGAGGGAGAGAGAGATAGAAACATGAATGATGAGAGAGAATCATTGATTGGCTGCCTCCTGCACACCCTCTACTTGGGATCGAGCCTGCAACCGGGGCATATGCCCTTGACTGGAATCAAACCAAGGGCCCTTCAGTCCGCAGACCGATGCTCTATCCATTGAGCAAATCAGCTAGGGCCTTATGTCAACTCTTGTCAACTCTCCCCTGTTCCCAATTCACCACTAAGAGGGAAATGTTTCTAAAATGCTAATCTCATCATGTCACTCCCTTGCTTAAAATAACTCTATGACTTCCTCTACAAAACAAGTTCAACTTTCTTCCCATGCCTTACAAGGCAGCCCACATCAAAAGCCTCATTTCCTACTACACCCTTATTTTCAACCTTACAGGAGTTCTTTTCATTTCCTCACATTTACTATGCTCACTATTGCTGTATAGTGTATAAGGTTTTTCTTGCATTAATCTCCTGGGAATGCAGTGATGAAATTACTTCCATTTCAATATAAAGACTATCAGATAAAATAGTCTGATTCATTAAAAAGTTGAAAGGGTGTGGGGTGGGAGTGGAAGTGAGGAAATGAGGTACCAACCTGAATGAGCATCCAGCTAAACTGGCAAAGATACAGGTAATGGGCGACAGCAGCCAGGGCCGAGCAGCTCTCATCTGTGAGCTGGGGACTTGCATATGCAGATGCCAGAAACACAATCTGTAAGAAACAAATACTTTTATTTTTAAATCAGGCTAAAATCAATCAAGAATATTAAGAAAGTAAACTGTTTTCTTATCTGATTTATGATTCCATGACTCAAGGGGACAATAACTTGATTTGTTGCCCAAACTGAGATGACTAAGAATCTTCTAAAACTGGCAATACATGAATTTTTATATTTCTAAGAAAGAATGGATTCTATGAAATTATGTTACATGTTGCTTTGGACTGCCAAGAGGAAATTCTCAAAGTAAACCTTTTTCTAATTATTGATGAACGGAAGTCCCATGAAATACATGTGTTTTAGGTAAGTAGAAAAGAGAAAAGAGAGCAGAAATACCATTCCTTGTTTAAGTCAAAGCTAATGGGAAAAAAAACAGAATGAAGCAAAAGCTGACTTTACCCCTCACCGGCATCCTCTTGCGGGGAAGAAACATACATAACAAACTGGACAAATTAAAAGTTAAATTTCCAATGCTATGATTACTCTAATCCTGGGGATTTTATTTCAACTGCCCTCAAGCCTTTGTTCAAAAGTGACCTTTGCCACCGGGCCTCTCTTGACCACACTATTTAAAATTACACTGTCTTTCCTTCTAACACATGTGATTCCCCCATCCCTACTTTTATTTTCTTTTTTGAAAACAGAATTTACCACCATCTAAGATGCTCTATAATTTGCTTATTTATCATGTCCAAATGAGTTCCCTGAAAAAATAAAGTCAACAAATTTGCCTTTCCAGATCATACCACAAATAGCTTTTGAATGATTAGAGTTTATTATAAAAACATGCTTAGATTTTCCTCAATTTTAGCTTCTAACTTCTGAGTTGTAACACATTTTAGGTCATCAATTTAACCTTTCTAATTTCCACAAGTGTTCACTGAACACGTTCACTGAAGCAAAGAGCCGAGACCATGCCTCAAAAGACCTTGGAAGCACAGGCTGTGAGATCAGCACACCTCCCTTCCCCCAAAGAATAATTGCACTGTTTTATGTTTTCTTTTTGCAAAGTGGCATCTTTTTCCATAAAAATCTTTAAAAGTGTAATAAATTCAGTCTGTCTAATTCAGATTCTAAAATATGGATTGTGTTGAAATTACTTGATATTTTTGTTCTAAATAACCTAAACAGTTTGATACACACACACACACACACACACACACACACACACATCCCAGATTCAAAGGCTGTTAAATTGTGTTGTTTAACCATATCTTCAGAAAAAAAATCACTTCTACTGTCGTGGTAAACAACCTGCTTCCCTGTTTATAATGGTCTGGCCCTCTAGCAACTTCAGCGCAAAATTATAGCTAATTTGCCTACAAACATCAGGTGGTCATAATTATCTGCTTTAACTCCATTGATTGCTATTCCCTAAAACACGTTCCATCATCTCAACCCTGCTTTGTTCTCTTCTTTCTTTTTTTTCTAGCCAGAATCGGTTTCTCATCTTCCTCTGTTGAAATCATGTCCATTTTTCAAGGCATACTTGAAATGTCAACTCTATCATAAATATATGGCTATTTATTTCAACCATAAACAACCCTTCCCTCCTCTTTATTTTTAAAACAGGATTTTATTAACCTAAGGATTGGTTTTCCTATAAACCTCAATTTCCCCAATTCTTATATAAAATCAGCCTTAATTTTGTGGAAAACTGTCAACTCCTTAAAGGCAACAATTCGATCTTTTTCTCTATTACAACTACTGAAATACATTTAAAAGAAAAAAAGAAGCAAACATTGACTATCTTGTATAGACCCTATCATGGACTTAAGCATAGGGTTGTTTAAAAACTAGCTTAAAGAACTTATATGCATATATGCATAACCATGGACACAGACAATAGTTTGGTGAAGGCCTGGGGAAGGGGCAGGAGTGAGGTGAGGAGGATAATGGGGAAAAAGATGGGACAGCCGTAATACTTTCAACAATAAAGATACATTTAAAAAACAGCTTTATTGAAGTATGATTAACAGGCAGTAAATAGTACATAAAATGTATGATCTAATAAGTTTCGACACATATATACACCTGTGAAACCATCATCACAAACAAGATAATTAACACAAACATCAACCTTAAATGATCTTTGTAATACCTCCCAGCACCACTGCTTCTCATATCCCCAAGCAACCTGTTTTCTAACACTACACATAAGTTTGCATTTACTAGAATTTTATGTAATTGGGATCAGATGAATTCTTTTTTTCTCTAGTGTATTTCACTTGGCATCATTATTTTGAGAGTCATTGAAAATAATGTGTCACTAGTTCATTCTCTTTTTATTGTTTCATAGTGTTCCAATTAGGTATCCTTTCACCTGTTGATGAATATTTGGGCTGTTTCCGATTTTTGACTTTTACAAATAAAACTGTCATGAACATACAAGTCTTTGTATGCACACATGCTTTCATTTATACTGAGTAAATATCTAGGAGAGGAATGGCTGAATCATATGGTATGTATTTATTTTTAAAAATGGATAAATTATTTTCCAAAATAATGTTTACAACATTTTACAGTCTCACCAGTAATGCATGAGTGTCCATTTCCTCCACATTCTCACTAAAACTGTTATGGTGAGTTAGTTTTTGTTTTCTTAACAACCAAAAGTTCATTTGGAAAGTTACAGAGGTAGAAGGAGTGAACCATGATGAGTTAGTTCTTAAGATTTTAACCTGCCTAATAGGTACACAGTAGTTCCTTATGGTGGTTTTAATTTACATTTACCTAATCAGTAATGACGTTGACAATTTTTTCATGCTTATTTGCAATCCATATCTCTTCTTTGAAGAAATGCCTTTTAAAATCTTTTGCTCATTTTTAAAATTGGGTTGTTCTACATTTCTATCCAATGATGAGTTTGTTTTACATTCATCATACAAGTCTTTCACCAGATATTTGATTTGCAAACATTTTTTCCAGCTGTGGCTTGTTTTCTATTTCTATTTTTTTTAAAATGTTGTTTTTAATTTATTTACTTTTTTTGAGAGAGAGAGAAAGAGAGAGAGAGAGAGAGAGAGAGAGAGAGAGAGAGAGAAATAGAAACATCAATTTGTTGTTCCACTATTATACATTCATTGGTCGATGTTTGTATGTGCCCTGTCCAAGGATTGAACCCACAATCTGGTGTACTGGGATGACAATCTAACCAACTGAGCAACACTGCTAGGGCCTAATTCTCTTAACAGTGTCTTTTGAAGAACAGCAGTTTCTTAACATCGATGAAAACCAATTGGGTTGGATTATACTTTTTTGACCTCTTATAGATTATATTTTTGGAATCATATGTAAGACAATTTTGCCTAGCCCAAATTGAGATGATTTTCTAGAAGTTTTATAGTTTAAGGTTTAAAAATAAGGTTTGCGATTGACTTTTAGTTATTTTGAATACAATGAAACTATAGTCCAAAGCTTTTTGTTTGTTTTGCATGTGACTATCCAATTTTCCTAATATTTTTTCTCTTGGAAAGACTATTCTTTCTCTAATGAACTACCTATAATTACGTATATTGTATATACCTTCATATATAGGGATCAATTTCTGGACTCTCTAATCAGTTTCATTGAATGTGTTTATATCAATACCACATCATCTTGATTATTGTAGCCATAATTCTTGAAAACATGTGGTGTCAAGCTCAAATTTATAAATTCATTGTTTTTTTTTCAAAGTTGATTTGGTTACCTCAAATCATTAGTATTTTCATATGAATTTTAGAATCAAGCAGCTGATTTCTACACTGGAAAAAAAAAGACTGCTGGGGTTTCTTTTCTGGGACAGTGTTGAGTCCTAATCTAAGGAGAATTGACATATTAACTCTTATATCTATCTCATGAATACAGTTAACCTTTCCATTTATTTAGGGTTTTTTTCCCTATTTCTCTTAGGTGTGTTTTGTAGTTGTCCATTTATAGGTCTTTCAGATATTAAAAAAAAAATACTTAAGTATTTATATTTTCACTGTTATTGTAACTGATATTTCATTAAATTTTAATTTTTGTTTGTTCATTGCAAATATATAGAAATACAATTGATTTTTGGATATTGCTCTTGTATCCTGCACACTTATAGAACATGCTTAATAGTTTGAGTAGCTCTTTTGTAGAAAACATTTATTTTCTACATAAAGGATCATGCCATCTCTGAATAAAGGATCTTTTACTTATCTATTTAATAAAGAGCCAGGGTCATAACGACTATTATGACCAAAGGCTCAACCAGACCGGAAGTCAGTGCTGGGCTGTGGGTGCCCCAACCCAGCACTGACTGCCTAGGGGGCTGCAGATCAGGCCTGGAGAGAGGCCTGCAGAGAGAGAGAGAGGCAGGGTCTGAGCCGTAGCCTCTGTGGCAGCCACTGATCAGAACTTGCCTCTCTTTCTCTCCCAGCCTGGCCAAGAGCCGCACCTCCATTTCTCTCCAAGTCTCCTCTGGGACTGCTGATCAGCCCCATCTTTATGATCAGGCCCTGTTGATAGGCCCAGAGACACTAACTGGCATAGAAACTGACCAATCAGAACCAAATTGGCAAGCAGAGGAAGGGCAGTTGGAGGTGAGATCAGGCCTGCAGGGGAGGGCAGTTGGGGGCAAGATCAGGCCAGCAAAGGCGGGAAGTTAGGTATGATCAGGCAGGCAGAGGCAGTTGGAGGCGAGATCAGGCCAGCAGGCGAGAGCAGTCAGGGGCGATCAGGCAGGCAGGCAGAGGCAGTAAGGAGCGATCAGGCAGGCAGAGGCAGATAGGGGCAATCAGGCAGGCAGGCAGAGGCAGTTAGGGGCAATCAGGCAGGCAGAGAGGTTAGGGGTGATCAGGCAGGGAGGCAGAGGTGTTAGGGGCAATCAGGCAGGCAGGCAGGAGAATGGTTAGAAGCTAGTGGTACCAGATTGTGAGAGGGGTGTCTGACCCCTGTGGGATCAAGCCTAAACCGGCAGTCAGACATCCCCTGAGGGGTCCCTGATTGAAGTGGGTGCAGGCTGGACTGAGGGGACCTC